AATCGCATTCCCGCATTTTATGGTCCAAAGCAATGGTTTTCCAAGTGTGGTCACTTGACCAGCAGCACCCAGTGGCACCTGAGAACTTGTCAGAAACACCCGGCAGAAGTTCAAATTCTTGGGACTCACTTAAACAGACTGAATCAGGAATTGTGGGAGTGAGGATGGACAATATCTATTTTCACAGGTTTTCCAGGTGAGTTAATGCACACTAAAGGACTTGCTCAGGGTCAGGGAAGATGAAATATATAGGTTAAACTATCAGTTTCTACAAAAGGGAAAAATGAGTCTCATTCCTACTCTCATTGCCTCTGCACTCCAACTTGGTAGATAAGCTACAGATGCAAGAGATGTTACCTGAACAATACAGGCTTTTGACAGCAGTTCAAGGCAACATCAGAGGATGGCAAAGATAATGACAAATGTTTCCCTTCTGTAACCTCACTCTATACCTTCTTCTGTCCACCACCAATTTCAAGTTGTTTTGCCCTCTTTTCACCTCTGGTAAATTCCAAGCAAAGCAGAGATTTTGAAGGCAATGCAAGGAATAACTACTGCATTGTTTATAATGACCTTTTAAGGACATCTTAATAGATTATGTTATTGATCTTGACAATTCTCCAATAAAGTTTAACCTATTGAGAAATCTGTGTGCCAATTTACAACATTCTAATAAAGACCCTAAATTAACAACCACTTTCTGAGAGCAGATTATATGAGGCATTTGTATATAAAATTATTTCTAACTCTTACAAATCTGCAAGTTGTCCCAAGACAGCAAATATACTTAAGAATGTAGAAAATGTATTAAAACATATACCATAAAATTACATTAAAATGAAACATTAACTATTTCACAAAGTATGTTAAATCCTGTATAAATTTAACATGGTGCTATTTATTACAAAAAGTGATGCTATTGTAAAAGAAAAGTCTTTCATTTCCCAGTAATGAAGGTAAGGGAAAGGGAATGACAATATATGACTTCAAAAATTCCTCCTTTAAAAAAATCTTTATTTTCCTTCTGTAATTCCCTATCATATCTGAACATTTTTATTTCCTGGAAGATTTAAGGTTACATTCAAAATTGGGATAATTCAATAGCTCTAACTCATAATAAGTATTTTATAACCCAGTAGAAGTGCTATCAATAAAATTCCCTCATTCTTGCCGATTTCCTTGTTCCAACTTCACTAGCTCCTCACTTGATGGGTGGCTTCTGTAAGACTCAAACATTTTAACCTCACTGGCCTCTATGACGTCTTCATGGCTAAGACCATTTCCAAATGTCATGTTTTAGTGAATGTGTAGTAAGTTTCAATTTAGAGGGAACCATAATTTTGGTGATCACTCATGGGACAGATCTTCTTCCACAAAACCCTTTGTTAGTGAATGGACTCTCTGCCAGGACCAGGCACTTGTCCAGGCTGTTCATGACACTGCAGACTCTCTGACTGCAGGCTTATCTGTTTCATTAATTTATCCAGGCAGCTGATGAAAAGATCTACACAGGCTTTACGCCTTAAAAGTGGCATTCACACCTCAATCTACTGGCTATGAAATACTTCTCCCTCAGATTATCAGATAAATCACCTAAATTTACAGGCTGGCCATGGTAGTGTCTATCTCGGGTTCAGAACTTCTTAATAAAAGGGCAGAAAACACAAGTGAGCCATTGTTGAGAGCTGCCCATCACTGTCCAGCCTACCTGGAAGATCACAAAATTGCCCTCAGGTTAGCTTAGGAGTGGGCTTGGGGAGCCCCATGATTTCCAAATAGATTAGTAAACACCTCACTTTTAAAATCATTTTCAGCAGGGCTCCAAGTGATACCAGCTGCTTTAACATGGGGCACTATTTTCTTCCACAGAAATAAAAGTCTTTTCAGCAATCCTTTCCAATCAAATTCTGTCTTATCAACTGAAAAGTTTGTTTCAATAAGGGAAGCCAACATGTTAGGAGACTTGCACGAGTTGTATGTGTCAGGAATTGCCATCTTCCCCGCTCATCTTCACGCTCTGCAAACTGTGCCTCTCTTGGACCCCTACAAGTCATTATCTACTACCCACTAAAAACTTCCACTTCAAAATCATGGCTTCTTCAACACATGAGTCCTCAATTGTAGGACATGTAGTCCTCAATTTCTAAAAAATCATGGTGCTCGTTGCCAAACCACTTCTGATCCTAGGCCCATATGTACTGAACAGGTCTCCATCAAAATATTTTTATTATAAATCAATTTATGAGCACTTAAAAGTCTAAGTGCTTGACAATCATTAAACAAATATTTTCTCAATTTTGTATAACAGAATGTAAAGGGAAAGACTCCAAGTACTTTTGCCATTTAGCCAAGTCTTAATCTTTGTCAAATTGCCTTAACACTTCAGATTTTACATTTAGCTAATTGATAAACAGTTTCCTTTTCCTTTGGCATTTTTCACTGTTTGGCTTCTTTCCCTCGATCTGTAGCACAGGTTTAAAACTGGTGTGAACATGCACTCCTGGCAAGTGAATATTTAGAACTTTAAAAGGAAGAAGGAAGGCTTAACATTTTTGTTTAGTTTTTCCTCCTGCCTTCTTTGGCTCTCAGTTTGTTGTCTACTCAGAAAAAAAAAAAATCAATTTCTTAAAAAAGGCAAGAACAAAGAAAGTAAAATAGAACCTGAGGGAAGCAGGTATAAAGCAAGAAGTAGGAAAGATAAACTTTCACAGTTAAAAGTTAACTCTAGAAGTTAAATTCCAGGAATAAAGCTAAGGAAGATGGCTACCTTCTTCTTTTAAATGTTTCCATAGTTGCAGAAAATTCAAATAAATCTAAAGATGCTCTGTTGACACTGTGGCAACTTAGGCTGCTTGCCCATGATGGCAGCTTGCGGGCATTGGCTGGAGGCTCAAAGCTAAGAGCTCGAAATCTTTTTGAAGATCCAATGTAGAAAAGGCAGAAACAGACTCATAGACACAGAGAACAGACTGATGATTGCTGTGACAAGGAGGGGGGACTGGGAAAAAGTGGGGAAGGGATAAAAAAGTACAAAATGGCAGTTACAAAATAGCCATGGGGATGTAAATAATACTGAGATAACGCTGTGTGGTGCCAGGTGGGGCACTGGAAGCAGCGGGGGGGACACTTTGTAAAGTGTGTAATGGTCTAACTACTATGCTGTACACCTGAAACCCATAAAAATAATAATGAAAGTCAACTGTAATTGAAAAATAAATACAAAAAATTTTTTTAAATGTATCATGAACAAAAAGAGGACTTGTTTGGAACGACAAAGCCATTTCAAACTAAACCTCTTAAAAACTTTAAAAACACTACCAGACATAAAAATATACACCCCAACACAAATGTGACTCCTAAGTTTTGAAAATGAGCCACACAGATGTATGGTACATAAGGCAGAGGTACTAATGTTTTGACAGAGACACCATGGCTTCCCAAACCCATTTCCAAGAGACCTAAATGAACAGTAATAGCCTATTGCCAAAAAACATATTAGATGTTGGGCTACTTTGCAATTGATTCTGGTTAGCTTTGACTTTTTAACTGTTGTGTTCCAGGTCTTTAGTAAAATCAAGAATTTATGGACTGAAGAAGTAGCGGGTGCTATATTGGCTATTTAAACTGAGTGCTAGTTTAATGTGCTAAAATAAATGTTCATATGCCAAATATTTGGTAAATCAAACAGACATGCATAAACAAAAGCCAAGCGTGCTTTTTCATGTTTATGTCTAATACAAAATACTTATTTATGCTGAAAGCATTGTACAGTGGCATATTTCATGTGTATATATGTACCTGTTCCCAAAACCTCTCTAAGATTTGGTTAGCCCTTCAAGTGAGTTTTTCTCTCATGTCACGTGTCTCAAAAAGCAGAGGCTGTGTTGTCTCCAAGACTAAGTAGCCAAAGCAACTGATCAAGGGCCACCAACACTGGGGCAAAGTGAAGTATGTCTTGATGAGTGACCTTGAAATACTGCATTTGCTGAGTGACCCTTCCTCTGCATTTGAATCAACTGAGAACTGTCGAGTTTAGAAAGTTATGCAAGCATGTCTTTCTCCTATTCCACTGTTATGCATCAGTAAATTCTTAATTCTTTATGGCTTATTAGTACATTTAAAAAGAAAAAAAAAAATAAAACCAGTCTGCTGCCAAAACCTGATTCTGGAATCAGATGGGGGTGGAAGTGGAATTTGTAATTCACAGAAAATAGAAAATTCCCATTGTCTGAAATGCGGAGCTGGTGGGACTTTTGCTTTCATATTCATAGCATGACAGGAAGGGCTTTCCATATGTGAGGATGCTAACCAATTCTGTCTGCAGAAGTATATCACCATTATGAGTGGAAAATGCACAAAAATCCAGGCTAAGAAAGTAAATGAAAAAATAACTTCTTTATTACGTATTAATCCTTTCTTATTTTTTACTACACATACAAAATTTTCTAAATATACAATTATCTATTATTCAAACCCAGGCAGAAGGAAGCTGGTCTGGCAGTGCCATTACTTCCCCTGACAATGGTTGATAAACAGTAACGGACATTCTTACAAGGCGGTTTACTAGTGTGACATTTTTCTTAGAAACCTGGAGCTTTCTTTTAAAATGTAAAGAAGACAATGACTGTTCCATTAAGAAATCCACATGGAGCCTGTTACCTGCTTGAGGGGGAAGCATTTCCTTTGAGTCTGTATCAGTTAATAAGTTTAAGATACTTGGGGAGGCTAGATGCTCTGAACTTTTGGCACAAGTCAAGAACTAGAAGAGCTAATGTGTTATTTTTTTCTTTGTTTATTAATGAGAAAAAAGGAGTCTGCTGCCAAACCCAGCTCAGAATTCAGATGGGAAGGTGGGGAGGAGGATAATGCGCAGTCCACTGATGAAATGAAATACAGATGATTTTAGGAGAACTTTTCTCATGTGAGCATTCTGTTTAACCAGTGTGAAAGGCCTAGAGAAAATCAGTTGATGTGGCTGGGTCTGCCTTTGCTGTCATTACCTGGATAGAGGTCAGGCCCAGGCCCCGGGGAACATTCCACTGCCCCATCTGCAGCAGCATCTCGTGGGGAAGTGGCCGGCTGCAGAGGCTGCACAGTGAGGCAATCCGTGAGCAGGTCAGGATGCAGCTCTGCACTGGACCGCAACTAAGAGAAGGAGAAAACAGAAGACAGATGGAAAAGGAAAGCTGTTCCTTGGAATACTTTCCTGGAATGGCATCATGCCCTAAGGTTCAATGCAATCAATCAAAAAATATTTATCAAGCAACAACTATGGGTGAAGCATTGGGCTTAACAGAGTCAATAAATGGGTCACTTTTCTAATCCTAGTAACACCTGGCAGGTGCTTCAGGAAAAAAAAATGGGGCTAGAGGCAGATTTGACTTAAGTCCTGATATTTTGCCTTCTGAGAACCCAACTTCCTATTCTGTTTCCTTTTATTTGCTCTATATCTTATCAGAACTTGTAGTGATAACAAAACAAATTCAAGTATATTCAGTACAGATTGGAAAGTGCTTTTAAAACAGAGATACTACCATGAAAATATCTTGGAGATAATTAAGAAATGCCCATTGAGATTTCGTGCCTATAGATTTTACATGACAGGAAAATACACAAGTTAAATTTTAAAATATTATGGAGCACAATTAAAAGAAAAACCAATGTCATTATCAGAAACAGAACCCCAGCAGTAGGTTACATGACAAAAAAATTTAGATGGTCATTTTACCACAATAACAAAATAAATTCTTTATTTATTAAAGAGTTACAAAAACTCAAGTCATAAAAATGTTAGAGTAAAATCTACGTGAAAAGTTATCCAATCTCTTTATGAAAAAGAATTTTCTAAGTGTAACTCAAATAGAAAAAAATCACAATGCAAGGTTTAGTTACCTAAAAATATTTATTTTCCGCTTCTATAAAAACACAATCCCTTAAAAATGCAGTAATATATTTGTTAGATACTGCAAATAGTTACCTTCTCCAGTGTTTAAAGGGATTATATAAATTGATATTGTCTTTATCAAGACAAAACTAAACCTTTAGACAGAGGGCTGGAATATACTTTTTCATCCAACAAACATTTATTGTCAGACACGCTTACTTTCAGACACTAGAAATATTTAGGGAACTTACACTCTCGAGGGGAGTGGTGGAGAGAAGGAGTCCGTGAGTAGGGATGAGGTATGGCAGTGTTAGAGCGGGGATCAGCGTCAGGGAAGACCTCCTGGACATGGCCCTTGTGAAAAGCTTGAAAGAAGTGAGGGAGTGCGGCCCATAGGCATGGGGGGGGGGGGCGGGAAACCTGTCTGGCTGGATTATCTGAGGAATCGTAAGGCTGGACGGGTGTCAGCCTGGGGCCCAGAGAAGAGAAACAGAAGATGAAACCAGAGATGTGAGTGGGAGAAGGAGTAAGTTTAGTGTCCCCCTCTCCTTCCCTCCCAGAATAGACAAACAGGAAAGGGCCTTCCAGATCATTTAGAATTCTTAAATTATCTCTGGTCCAGGAACTATCTAATGGTTGAGGCGGGATGCACATTAACAGAATCTCCTGGGTGGAGGCAGCCTCACCATGCAGCCATTGGCCATGAACATACGATTTTAAAAAGGTGAAATAGGATGAAAATTACCATAAACACATTCAGCGTATTTACAAAGAAGTACGATGTTTAAATTTTTAACTTATTATGTTATTTAAACCTTTAAATAGGTAGTGGTAATTAAGGTACAGTGAGGGAGTCATCCTTAAACACTGCTGGTAGAGGTATACACTGGTATGATCTCTGTAGATGGTATCTGGCAATATTTTTTCCAGATGCATAATTAAAACCACTTGATCATCAAATTTGTCTTAAGGAAATAGCCAGGAAAAAGGTGAAGGAAGATTTATACTCAATGTTTCAGTGATATATAGCATTATTTACAGCAATATAAAATATTAGGAAATGTTACTTAAATATCCACAATTATGGCTAATAAATGATCTCATATCAATTTGATGGGATATTATGCAAACATAAAATAATGCTTATGAAGATAAAAGCAAAACACAAAATTAGATATACCAAATAACAATTACATAGAAACACATAGCCAAAATACTGTAAGAAAATGTAATCCAATATTAAAACTGATTTTTGTTCCTAGAGGTAATATCATGAATTTATTTCCTCTGTTTTTGAAAAAATCCTTTCCTCTGCTTGCCACATTTTCTACATTCCGATGACCTGTTGGAGCTGGCTTGCACTAATCCAAGAGCTCCAAACATGTGTATCTTTTCCAAACTTTTTATGCCATGGTGTCAAGATTGGTAGCTTGAAATTGATTATAATAAGAATATATACACCATGAAAACTAGCAAATGCTACCAACTGCGGCTTAATTATATGGAGAGCTGGTTGTTAAACACTACCAGCACACCACCGACAATGACTCTGATCTATACTCTGATCAGAAAGAAAAGCATACACACACATACAAGACATCAGGTAAGTTACTATTTAAAGAGCAATATTTCTTGGGTTTCAAAAGCTTCATAAATTGACAAACATATGCTCAGGTCTTAGTCCAAGAATATGAAAATGATATAGTGACCCTGAGTTTAGGGAAGGAGTATTTAGGAGTGAATGAGACATAGTTATAATTTCCTCAGCTTTGCCACACCAGAATCTCTGACCAAGACTGTGTGAGTTAATGCCTAACCCTCACATGGCATTTAGAAAGTATGTTTGTTATTTTGGTACTAACCTAACACATGCTGCGTAAGAGAAACTGGAAAAAAAAATCAAGGCTAAGAATGAGTTCTGGTGTTCACTTTTAATTTATCTTCCTTTGTTAAATGTGGTCTGGGGCCCACATGTTCTTCTAAGCATAGACATGAATGTCTCTCTGCTTTCTATTACCAACTACTCTTGGGTTTTACAGTTATCAGTACCGATGAGGTCTTTCCAAGGAATTTCGTGGCCATGGTCACTCCTGGAGTTAAAAGCAGGCAATTCTTCCTTAGCTTTAACAAGTATTCATGTTTTCCAAGAGTGTGATTCTATACGATTTTGTGGTGAGAGTTAATTTGGTTTTCTCTGGGATTAGGCATGGTTCTAGAAACCACTTCTTAAGTTGAACAAGCCTTAAGGACCTTATGCAAAATTTCCAAAGGAAGGCCATATGCATAGAAATGCAGTACTGATATGTAAGCTTATTGACCCTCTCTCCCTCTCGCCCAGATCAGATGGCCAGAAAAGGGCCTTCCAGATCATCTCAGGCTCTTAGACATTCCAGGAGTTATCTAATGGGTGATGCAGGAGGCACATAACAGAACCTTCTGAAAGGGATGTCTTACAATAAGATACGTCTTTATATTTGGATTAAGAAACACAACTATTTATATAAAACAAATTATATAAGGTGTATTTCAAACACATCTTCTTAGCTTCTAGGAATATAAAAAAGACAGAGAGTAAAATTTTTCAATGGGAGATGGTATCTAACTGTGGTTCTCAAACCTGGGCATGCACCAGAGCAACCTGCAGGCCCCACCCGGACCTGTGCATGTGGATCTGTGGTGTACGTCTAACAAGTTCTCGGGTCATGATGCTGTTAGTCTGGTATCACACTTTCAGAACCACCAGTCTCTAGAACCCGGATGAGGAGAGCTAGATTTCTTTGGTTATAAGGAGAAAAACCAATTATGAAAATAGGAAATTGTAAAAACCAAATTGTCTTTAACACCCAAACCTCATGTAAACATTTCTTTGTTTTACAGTCCAAGCTAATACTCTTTTTTTTAAAGTATATTTTATTGATTATGCTATTACAGTTGTCCCAATTTTTCCCCCTTTGCCCACCTCCACCTAATACACACCCTTCCTTGCAGCAATCCCCTCCTTAGTTCATGTCAATAGGTCATGCATATAAGTTCTTTGGTTTCTCCATTTCCTATACTGTTCTTAACATCCCCTGTTTATTTTGTGCCTACCAATTTTGTTTTTTTAATCCCTGTACCTTTTCCCCCATTCCCCCCATTCTCCCTCCCAGCTAATAGATCTCCATATCTATGATTCTGTTACTATTCTGGTTGTTTGCTTATTTTTTTTTGTTTGTTTGTTTTTTAGATTCAGTTGCTGATAGCTGTGAATTTGTTGCCTTTTTAATGTTCATAGTTTTGATCTTCTTTTTCTTAAGTCCCTTTAACATTTCATATAATAACGGCTTGGTGATGATGAACTCCTTTAGCTTTACCTTGCCTGGGAAGCACTTTATCTGCCCTTCCATTCTAAATGATAACTTGGTGGGATAGAGTACTCACAGTTGTAGGTCTTTCCTTTTCATCACTGAATACTTCTTGCCAGTCCCTTTTTGCCGCCGAGTTTCTTTTGAGAAATCAGCTGATAGTCTTATGGGAACTCCTTTGTAGGTAAATCTCTGCTTTTCTCTTGCTGCTTTTAAGATTCTTTATCTTTAATCTTTGGCATTTTAATTATGATGTGTCTTGGTGTGGTCTTCTTTTGGTACAACTTGTTTGGGACTCTGTGCTCCCTGGACTTGCATGTCTATTTCTTTTGCCAAATTATGGAAGTTTTCTTTCATTATTTTTTCAAGTAAGTTTTCAGTTGCTTTGGTTTCAAAACCCATGAAACTCTTCCTCTTCTCCTCCTAGCATCCCTATCATTCGGATGTTGGCACATTAGAAGATGTCCCAGAGTCTTCATATTCTCTCATTTTTTTTGAATTCTTGATTCTTAATTCTGCACTGGTTGGACTGTTTATTTCTTCCTTATATCCCAAATCAATTATTTGAACCCCAGCCTCCTTTCCGTCACCGTTGGTTCCCCATGGAGTTTTCTTTACTTCACTTGGTGTAGCCTTCATTTCTTCCCTTCATACTCAGTGAGTTCTCTGAGCATCCTTATCACCAGTGTTTTGAACTCTGCCTCTGACAGGCTGGTTATTCTCTTTCGCTTAGTTCTTTTTCTGGAGTTTTAATCTGTTTTTTTCATTTGGGCACATTTTTTTGCCTCCTCAATTTGGCAGCCTCCTTGTGCTCCCATGTATTAAGTAAAGCTGTTTAACTCCCTGTAAAAGGCACCAATCTGGATGAGTGTGGCTTCTTTAAATCCTTGGTTGTTGGACTTCCATAAAGTTTGATC